AAGAGATTCGAGCTTAAGGCTTATATGTATAATACATGTACACTCACGCGAAGCTGGGGCGGGTAGTTAGTAAAGTATATTCTGTATATCTGTCATAAATGTTTATACTGAACAATAATAATGTAAGAACTTTATGACACTATAATGTTGGTAATAGTGCTAGAGTGTATATAAAAAGTTAATGATTATGTGTTAATTATAATTTAATTGTTTGATAATGTATGGTATAAAGATATAATATTTAGTGATAACAACATTAACAAATAGAAGGGTGGTTAAATACATTAAGTTTTTTTACTATTTATTTTACCATCCTGTTAATTAATAAATAATATATTTTAGTAAAAAACACAGCGCCATCTATGAAGCAGAATTTGTACTAGAGTGATTGATTGACAACTGATAAACATAAAATATGTATAATACTACATATAAAATACATACTAATATTATAAATCTCTGTCTGTTTGTTTGTTACCTTTCCACGCCATTTAGACATAATTTAATGACTAAACAGATTCGAATGAAATTTCATATGAAAGTAGATTTTCGTACGGACAAATATAGGATTTCTATTATCTCAAAGAAAAGCAGGTGGATTCGTGGGCAACTACAAATATATATTGTAGAATGTCCGGACCAATATAAATACATTCATAAATACAAGTGTTTGTATTGTACGGAGATCAAACTCACGACCATCGGATATTGACGCAGTATGTTACACCGCCGCACCGAGGTCGTCAAATTAATACTAATGTAATATTCAAAATATTGACAAGTACAACTGATAAAAAATATTGAATTTTTATATCATTACATAGTAAAACAAAGTTGCTGTTGCTGTCTGTCCGTCCCTATGTATGCTTAAATCTTTAAAACTACGCAACGAATTTTGAAGCAGTTTTTTTTAGTAGATAGAGTGATTCAAGCGGAAGGTTTATATATATAATACAGGTGTATAATACATCTGTGCGAAGCCGGGACGAGTAGCTAGTAAAAAATAAAATATTTTTTTAGGCACAGTACCAGTAATATGTCAATACAAAACACATTAACGTCATTATATTTGACGATTTTATTAGGATAAAGTTACAGATATATTAATATAGTCATGAGTACTGTTAATTCGTGATATAACAGCTGATGCTAGAAAAGATTTCTACAAAATGAAACAAAAAAAGTTACTTTAACCATTAACGTGGTTCTGTAAGACGATGTTAATAAATTATATACACATAGTTTAAGGCTATTTAAATTTTATATTAATTATTGTTAAACCGTTTGTGGCCTTCTATGTTTTGTGAGTTTTGGAAAAAAATATGAATAAATATGATATAAATAAAAAAATTTTTAGGAACTAAATTATGTCCTACAAAAGACATCAACGTGATTCAATTGGATAATTTTTTATAACTTAAAATGAAAGGTTATATTAATCTTATATATAATATTCTCGTGTCATAATGCTAGTTACCATACTCCTCCGAAATGGCTAGATCGATTTTGATGAAATTTTATATGCATATTCAGTAGGTCTAAGAATCGGCTACTATCTATTTTTCATACCCTAAGTGACAATGGTTGTCTATCACCAATCCCTATGTTTTAATAGCAATTTTATGGCAACAACGTTTGCTGGGGCAGCTAGTATTACTATAAATATTGTTTTTATTGTAACCTATCTGCTATACGATACAAAAAGTAGTTTTAATTAAACATAAATTTATGTCATGTAAAAGACATCAACGTCATCCTATTTGACTTTAATCTAAAGACCTAGATGTTTTTATAAAGTATAATGTTATTTGAAAATGAATATATTAATAGTAATAATTTTATTATTTTATACAGATTATTTATTTATAAGTAAGTGGCCTAGTGACTTGCTATACCTATGACAAAAGTAACCATAACCAACGAAATTAATCTGAGAAAAGCTTGTAGTCTTTGCCCCATTCCATATAGAATTAAATGACTCAAAAAATGTTGTCATATCAAATGATGCATTTATATTTATAATACCTCTGATTACGCTATCTGGAATTACAGTTGTGAATATTAAAATTAATTTATATTTGACAAAATTTATAAAACAAATTATATATGTTTAAATCATTGATCGAATTTATTTCCTTATCCGTAAACATTATGTGAGTAAACGCATACGTAATACCAATAAACAAGCGAGCATTCACTGCAACTGATATGCATATCTATACTAATACTAGCTGACCCTGTAAACGTTGTTTTCCCATATAAATTAAAATCGCTATTAAAAAATTTGGTTTGGTGCTAGAACGGCCAACTTTTAGGGTTGTATGTATTGTCAACGGTAAATTACAATGAAATTAAATATAATATCACAAGTACAAGTTTGTATGTTTGTTTTTTATAGAGTAATTTCCGTTACTGCTGATACAATTTTGAAAATTCTTTTGTTGTTGGATAGCCCATTTGTGGTGGAAGGCTATATAACATCGCGTTACCACCAATAGAGACAGAGCAGTAATGAAAAATGTTGCAAAATCTGATACAAATAATGATGTCCTAGTCAGCCAGTATTATTTACCGCCATCGTATTATAAAAAAAATAGAATGAATATGAAATTTTCAATTGCCTATATATACACATCATGAATAGAATCAGACATTTGCTCGATCTCGGATGATAATTTTGCAAAGCAATAAATTTGTAACCAAACTGAAGGACCCGTGTAAATTCTTCTACTATAAGGGTGGTACAATACTATACGGTGACAAATGGTAGGCAGACTTTATACTATATACTAGCTGTGCCGGCGGGTTCACCCGCGTTAAATTTATATAAAAATTTTAGCCCATGTGTTACTCTGATGCATAAGCTATATTACGGTAAAATTTCATCAAAATCCGTTCAGTAGTTTTGCTTGAAGAGTAACAAAGATCCATACTCAAACTTTCGTGTTTATAATATTATTAAGATTACTTTCTCACCTAATACATACATCTCTTCACTGCGTCACATTCTCCCCGTTTCTGCAACAATTTTGATTGCAGTTCCACTCCTAATAGTCGTAGCGTAATATTATAAGTATGCTTGGGAAGACTAGTCTTATTACTAACTATAATTCCTACCATACTAATTGTCACAAGATTGATATTCTCGCGGTGGCTACATCTACAATACACTACAGTGGTCCTTACTACAAAGGTTTCCAAAACGCGACTAGTAAGTAGTTGATTCTTGCTCAACTTACTATGTTTTACTAAGGACCTGCTTTCGTTATAATCCTATCATATCTGACTAATATCATAGCAACAATTAGTAACACCATTTCACAATGAAAAACATGAAAGTAAAATAACTGAGTATTATGTATCAAGATGCACATGGGCGGCAGTAATCACTTAATATTAAGTGAGCTGCAAGCTCGTTTGTCTCCTATGCTATAAAAAAGGTAACAAAGGTTCAAAATGTTTCTGATGTGGTCGTGGAGACAACGGAGTACGGCAGTGATGTATCTTTAGACAGTGGGCTTGAAAATCTTGTTCTTGTAGTAAAAATAACTCTTTTCAATTAACATATATTTTTTTTTATAACACAGGGGACAAACGAGCATACGGCTTACCTGATGGTAAGTGATTACCGCCGCCCATGAGCACCCGCAACACCAGGGGAATTGCAAGTACGTTGTCGGCCTTTTAAAAAGGAATAAGCTCTTTTCTTGAAGGTTTCAGTATCGTATTGCGTTTATATTTATATTTTTAATTACATATATATTTTTAATTTATTATCATTCATCCATTCCATTCATTATTTATTTATACTAGCTGTCCCGGCATAGTTTTTTTACCACATACAGTTTTTTATAGATGATAATAGAATGGTACACCCATTTGCGCTAACGTTTTACGCTGGCTGGGCACCAATGGAGGATGATAAGTGTGTGGTTAGGTCAGTTAGCCCATCATGAGGTATTCAACAGAAATTTATCACGATGACAGGGAACCGCCTGGGTATCAACTCGACATGGTATATTGCTTATTATGCATTATTATCAATCCCCTTTCTCCTGCCAAATTCATTAATATTGCTTTTAAAAAAAAATAGCAATATTGATGGCAGAAGGGTTACAATTATAATTTTTAATGCAGAAGTTTAAAAAAATTGTCCTAAATACAAAGATTTTTTTTGGGATGAATCTCTTAAGGATATATAGATATAAGAATATTTATCTTTGTCCGCTATAATATAATATATATTATAGAAGAGCGTGACATGTTATTTTTTTATATTAACATTTAATAATATTAATTAACTAATTGGCATTCAATTTATACTCAGAGTTGCATTATTTCATATAGAACGATATAAGTATACTATGTCTATACTATGCCTGTCTCCCATTGGGGCATGTATATAGGGCTATAAAACCTCAAAAATAAAAATAAATGACAGTTATTAATGAAACAACAGTTTATCAAGAAATATTAACTATATTATGAAAAATTGACCATAATTCAGTGTAGTTTGTATTAATCCTATTATTCAATTGCCGGTCAACTTTAAATTAACTTTATCAATAGAAAATATACGATTATAAAAAAAGGCTTTCAAAAAAATATACATCTAATTGAAGATTCCTTCTAGAAATTATGATGTTTAGAATTCCACATGTATATAAATTACCAATTAAAAAGTTATTCTATGCTATCTTAAATATTTAAATTTAATTTGAGATATCTCATGAAAACTACAAACGCCTTGTCACTACAGCACTGAGATTAGAATTTACTATTGTATTTTTTTATTTTAATTGTTAACCAAGGTCACACATCTAATACATAAACACATGTCAACCTATTCCGCTGACACTGAAGATTTTTTGAACATCCGAAGGTTCCGCGTTTCGTCACATAAAAATTGGCATGTACACGCATGCGTAATAGTTTGTGCAACGTCCCCACCTATCACCACTTCCACCAGAGTTAGCCGCGGTTGCCGCAGTACAGTTCTTGCCACGATGGTCGCAACACGCACGCTCTCGCTACTTTTAGCCGCTTTCGTCGCTGGCTCGCTCGTGAGCGCCGCGGTACCGAACCACGTGCGCGAGCGCAGACAACTTGCGGATGATGATTCCTTGCAGCCTATTGAGGTATGTGTTTTGTTTATTATGAAGTTAAGTATAACTAGATTGAAATTATCTTTTCGAATTTGATAGTTACATTTTTAATATAATAAAAAAGCATTACAAGACTTTCTTTCTTAGAGTCAAGTTAAGTGACTGAAATGCTTATAGCAGTGTCAAAATATCGGAAATTGATAAGACACAATGTAAACAAGTGTTAAAAAGTTTCAAACAATAGTTTCTTACAAATAGACAATGACTCAGATTTAGACTCTTTCAAACTTTGATGATATTGAATTTCAATTTAGATATACTAAAAATTGGATAAAACGGGAACATAATTATTATTATATTTAAGTATAATAAGACGTTGTTAATAATATATGTAAATAAGAAATTGTGAAATGTGCCGCTTGAGGCAAGAGTCGCTTTGTGCCCTTCACAGGTTTTGAAATCAACTATCTCGAATGTTATCATGTAGTGGATGTCACAAGATGTATTTTGGACGTAAAGGAGTAAATAAGATGCCGTGCAATACACATAACATAATGACCTTGACATTTATTGTCATTTTGTGATAAGAAATATCAAACATTCCGAGTTTGAGTATTTGACTAATGTATCAGTATGCACTAAACAGTTGCTAACAATTTTCATTTGAAACATTAATATTTTCAGTTTTTACTAATGTATTAGGCAAGATTACATACTAGTATTATTATAATATAATAATATTCCTTCACGGCTGTAATCTCAAATAGGATATTCAGTCGTATATATATATATATAAATATACGATTATAAATGTATAACTATCGCTGCCATGGTGCATGCAAAACTTGAGCTGCTCATTTTTTACTTTGTATATTTGAACCCAACGTAGCAGAGGTTGTTTAATTTGTTATCAGTGTTTACATCGTCAGTTTTTTAGTATGGACCGGATTTAAAGTGAACCTAGCTACCCTAACTCTAAGTTGAGGAAGTAGAGTTAATACTATTGGCATAATAATAGCAAATGATTTTGGTATAATGTATCTGTCGTACATTCCAATAGTAAACCATACAGCTTAACTTCTAGCATCTGCTCCAAATGGTTCATATAAAGTCTACGATGTTTTATTTACAATTGAAAATTCTTATCAACTGTGTTACATAACAAAACAGCGTGTGAGTCCTCTTTTATATATTTTTTAAAAGTTGTATCATATTCACACAATTATGAATTACAGTCAAGTTTTAATTAGTCCAAAATACTTTAGGACATTCAACTATGTGATGACGTAATGTCATTTATAAATAATTGTCTCATTACCTAAATAGAATTATAAGAATCATTACAAACCGTCTGCAAACTTCATTCGACTTTCGTTCAATACTACGTTGCATAATCGCGCAAAACGTAGAATACCCGTTTTTGCTCGTAGTCGGTTAAACTAGTGTTATGTAATATTATAATTCTATTAATGGTATATTCGATGCGGCTTAAGTCTAGCACAAGCTAAACTAGTGATTTGGTCAAGGAACTTTGATTTATGGTTTCGACGGAATAGCTGAACTTAAAATATATGACCATCAATATAATCAGACACTTGTAGTTACTTAAAATGAAAGATACAAGTTCAGTATTCTATATTTTATACTTTTTTAAAATTTACAATCCTTTAAATATAAGATACTAGGTTTCTCCGCCTGATGGCCCACAGATACATGACTTACTACTGACTACTAACCTAAATACCAGATGTACCTGTGCCAGATTTTATAAAGTTAACCATGTTACAAACAGATAAACAAACTCACTGTGATATTTCTAGTATTATTCGAAAAACGCCTACATTAATAAATAAAAGGAATATTAGTAAAACTTACATAATTCTAATTAGTATCCGTAACCTTGATCACTTGTGGTGACTGATTCTTAAACCTGTAACGCTATAAAAAACTTTTAATGTAACACTTATATTTTATTGTTGCAAATTACTTTTATGTATAAGTTATGGGATATATTATTTGTCGACCACAACGTTGTAACTGGATAAAGGCAAAGCAACGAAGATTATTATTTTCTAATAATATTTTCTCTACTTCGTTAATTTATTATTACAATTTAGGTAATACTCCTTCTACCTAATTTGTAACAATAAATTTAAGAGCAAATGAAAATATCTTAAGAAAATAATCATCATCTCATCTTACCCATATCCATTATTTGGCGTAGCAAATAATACCTACTTAAATTTTGTGTCAGTCATTAATTAGAATCTAAACAAAGCTCTCTATGAAGCTCTATAAACAATTTCTCCTTGACTAAAACGCTAGAACATAGATGCACTAGATATTTAAGAACTGCAGAGATATTGCATAAAACAATGCCTATATTATATTTGTTCTTCTTTTACTTAATAATATATTTTAATATAACTATATATGAAATCCATATTACATTCATAGTACGTTGAATCGAATGTATGTTCATGTATGCTGCTCGTTATATAGTAGTGACTTTATTAAATTAATAGAATGGAAAAGGTATATTTGATCAACTTACTTGAACGTTCTTATTATATATGTTACGATGGACATTGATATAATATAATAATGACTTAATACAATAATTCATGATGAATTCGGTTTTCGTAGTTCCCAAATGTAATTAGATCTTAATTTGACAGCGGTGAACTAGTTTTCTGATAGTCGCGGTTTCGATTCCTCGCATAGCACAAACATTTGTATTCAAACAGATTTTATATGTAAAAAATGTTTGATTTGTATTAAATTATTTTAATGTTTGTTTAAATGTCAGGGGAACAGTTTCAAGGAATCGAGAACGCCTACATATACCTAGTTAATTTGACAGCTTATAAAAATCCCTGTCACTTACGTGCGTAATAATAATTATCGTAAAAGATAAAAATAAAACTAGATATTCAATTATGAACTCGTTTCCGTAATTTGATTTTGTTAAATCGACTTTATTACAATATATATATGATTCGATTCGTTAAATTATATCAATGTTCATTTAGTCCTTGTTATATGTGTAATATTTCAGCCTTTCTCAGTCGGCCTCGCATCGAACCTCTTACCTTCCGCTATCGCTTCATGCATACACATACACACATTATATTACACGTGTATTACTTGACGTGAATGATTACATAAAAATCATTATTGAAATCGACACTTTACAATCAACCTTACGACGATAACTTTAAAATCTAAAATCACACAATTATTATTTACATAGAGAAAAACTTTCCTATACATTAATTCAGTATTAGAAAATTTGGGAATCTTGTTTCAATAGAATGATAGGTATGGAATTAGAGTTTTTATTACTTCGATTTAAGGCATATTGAATTTGAAAGCATTTGTTCATATAGAACATTTTACAAAGGAAATTTATTAGCAAGGGAAATTATTTACAGATATAATATATATTAAAAAAATTTCAGATAATTAATAAAATTTTATAGACAGAAAGTAAATAAAAGCTTATAAAAATTAAATGCACAGTCCAATATGCCCTATATTGTTTATAATTGTTTTACTATTTTTTTATTCACACCATAAAATGTTTATTGATAGCAAATATTTCTTAATCTATATTGTAATAATTATATCAGATTTATTTTTTATTTACTAATAAAAGTAAATCCACTTATTACAACTTACATTCTTAATCTAAATGTTAAATTATTGGCTAAATGCTAACGTATAAATGAAGAAGAATTAATAGTCATAATGTACCGTAAATTTATTTTTATATTATATTATGACTAAAAGAAAATCCACTTTTAATATTTGAAGAATTACGATATATATATAAATGATTATAGATCAATGACACTTATTGTTTGATGTTTCTAATGAGGTTAAGCAATGTTCACATTAGCCACTCCAAAGGATGCGCACATTAAACGTTGCCTAAACCCAATAGACACTAATTTACCATTTTATTAATACAAATACCTAACTAAAATGAACTGATTTTTTATTCCGTAATTGGAATGGCAAACAACCTAACGGCCCACCTGAAAATTGGAAGCTACTTGTAAACCTGAATAGCATTAAGGACGTCATAAAATATATTGTAATCTGTAATACGTTTCCATTTTTGAGGAACTTAGTCCTTATACCTTTTAGAATAGAATAGGATAGAATAGAAAATCGTTTATTCAAATAAATTTAATTTAAGCACTTTTGAATAGTCATAATAATTTGTTTTTTATCTACCACTCGTTCGGAAAGCTGTCTCATCACAAGAAGAACGAGCAAGAAACTTGTGTGTGGCTCTTTTAAATAATTCTTATAAGTTTACATTTACAAGTCGAAACGTGTGAATACAAACTACCAACCAGCACAAATTTTTTTGGGTAAATATAAATATATAATAAGATTAAATCAGTCGTAGTGATAAGAGCAGACCAGTCCCTACAAGCAGCACTCGTTCACGAGTATGACGGATGAACCAGCCATCACTGCGCTCGACCATATTTTAGGGAGCCCAATGACCCTTAGTCTTTCGCCTCTGTATCCTTTCAAATTAGAACGTTCTTTTTTTGGAAACATACACATTGTCACGACTGTTATCCTAGATGGAGTTGATCGAGGCATTGTTTGTATGTCTGTCTAACTACGATGTTGTGGTGAATTCAACACTTGATATGCCCCACATTTTTCTTGGTGTATTTCAGTGCAAGTGGCAAACAACCCACCGCTGTCTCTCGTATTCAAATTTCAGTTTTGTTATCTGTTTGTCCTTTAATGATACAGAATTTACAGTTTTGACTGACACGACTACTACTTGATTGATGACCTCTAGGATGTACTATAATTTAAGATAATAAACCACTACGCTACTATTTTTTATATTTTGCATATAATTAAACGTGTAGTATAGGGAACGCAGTACTAAGCGGAATCTATTGTGATATATCCTAACTGATAGAGATTGTTGTTTATAACAATACAATGATTTAACTGTATCAACGGGTAACAATCGTTATTACATAACAATTTAGAAT